AACTGCAGGGACTTGTCCAGGCAGTCTCTGAGAATCGGACCTGATTGAATGGATTAAAAAAATATAAATACCAAAAGGAGTCTTCAAGGAAGCAAATGTGTTCTGTTCTCTGGTGGGGGAAGTAACCAAGAAGGAATCTGTTTAACCTCTTAACTTCCAGACAAAGGGGATGAATGATATGGGGAAAGAAAATGCAGCAGGTCTCTTCTTACAAATGTTGTCTCAGCAGAGGTACAAATACCAGGCTTATTAATGCATCAGAGAAGGTGACTTCCATGAGCCAAAGGTCCAGTGGAAGCCCGTGGCCCTTTGCTGATGCACAGAATGGGAAAATAACTGCATGTACGAGGATTGTAATGCTGAAGAATCTACAAGGCAGACTCTGTAATGAAGCAATTCTTCTGATAACAGAACCTGAAGAAGCTGTTGTGGTTGGGACTAATGGGAAGATGTAAATATGCATCTTCCAGTTGGAATTAACACAGGTTAGAAATTACTTTATCTTGCTCCTTTCAAGGATTGAACAGGGGTGTGGAGTAATGTGATTGGCTCTGAGGATTCATTTTGCTATCAGATTCTTCATGGTTAGGGTTAGGGTTAGCGTAAAAAAAATCAAGATATGGCTACTTTGGAGGCAGAAAAATGAAGGAAGGGATAGATATTTAACTTTTTTTTTATGGAGGTCTTATCTTGTTGTCCAACAACCAAGCAGTAACACTGCTGATAATTGCCCTTATTATTTAAACAAAACAAGGCAAAAGGAATGCAGCAAAGTTAGATACTGGTATCCAAGAGAAACTGTTTATCCAAAGAGAAGTCTCTGAAAAGACATGCCTAAAAAGAGAAACCGAGTTCAGTCATGGACCCTTTTTAACATCCTTGACATAAAAGCTCCGCTTGTTCTTTGCAAGCTTCTGCTGTCCTACAAAAAAGAAGTTATCGTTTTCTTTTTCTTATGTTGTTATAAATCTTGATACGTTATATTATTTCAATACAATGATGTTTATATAATATAAAGATGACTGAATGCCATTATTTAGATCACTTAAGAGTACTGAAAATAGACGAGAGAGAGAAAAAAGATATTCTATCAATATTAATTACAATGTAGGATATCAATATTACAAGCATTAACATTATTTGGCTTTTTCATTCAAAGTTGAGTATAACATTGGGGGGGGAAACCACTGTAACTCAAATCAATTTATTTGTTGTGACTCGCTTCAAAATATGTGTTATATAATTTTCAGTCTCTTTACTTAATATTAAAAACTTTTTTTTTTTTTTTTTTGGTGTCTTCAAGTCACTGTAGTGTTCTTGGTAAGATTTTAGAAGTGGTTTGCCATTGCCTCCTTCCTAGGGCTGAGAAAGAGGGACTGGCCCAAGGTCACCCAGCTGGCTTTGTGCCTAAGGTGGGACTAGAACTCACAGTCTCTTGGTTTTTAGCCTGATGCCTTAACCACTACACCAAACTGGCTCTCCCATTGTATTACATGTAGTTCTTGGGTTACAATGGCAATTGAGACTGAAATTTCCGTTGCTAAGTGATGCAGTCATAAAGTGTGGCATCATGTGACCACACTGCTTAGTGATGGCAATCCCAGTTAAGCAAGAAGAGGTGGGAGTCCCAGGCAAGCCGGCTGGCGGGTGAGAGCTGCTTGTGAGACCTGCAGGTGGGAGGGTGGGTGCTGTGGGAAGGTGCTCTGGAGCATGGGCAGGTGCCACGGCAGGGGGGGCTGCTGTAGTCAGGCAGTATAGAGCGCAGGCGGACGAAAAAGCAGTGGGAACAGGACGAGAGCAACTTCCTTCTGGCTTTCCCTTGACTTTGCTTGTACTTTTGGGTTTTCCTTACAGGTCCACCACATGTGATGGGTGGACATGTGAGAGCCAGTTTGGTGTAGTGGTTAAGGCATCAGGCTAAAAACCAAGAGACTGTGAGTTCTAGTCCCACCTTAGGCACAAAGCCAGCTGGGTGACCTTGGGCCAGTCCCTCTTTCTCAGCCCTAGGAAGGAGGCAATGGCAAACCACTTCTAAAATCTTACCAAGAACACTACAGTGACTTGAAGACACCAAAAAAAAAAAAAAAAGATTTTTTATTAATAAAAAA